CTGAGATTACACAACTGCGGGGCCAGGGGGGAAGGAGGGAAATAAAGAAAAAAAAAATCACTGACTTACAAGCAGATAAAGTCACATGCATGAGTACTCCCCTTTAAACCAGACTTCCTTGGTGTATTATCTGGAGTAGACTGGAGAAGCACAAACAGGAGGTCTTTCTGGTTTGCACTCACTAACCAGGGCAGAAGCTTCTGCTTTTTGCAACAGCACAGCGCCACACAATACAGCAGCTTTCCAACCAGTTAATAGCTCGATGTCCCAAAACCATTTGAGGAAAGTTTGTATTTTTTATAATTAAGCTTACTTCACTGTTCCACAGAGGTGTGTGGGGGACAACCAAATACTCTAACAAAAAAACAACACAGTCAAAAACCTATCATCTGTAATTTTGAGAATCAGACCATTACTTGAAAAATTCCTGATCTGACTGATTTAGAAGAGGAGTGAACTTGTACCTCCCACAACAAGCTGTTATAAAGCCAAGGTACCAGCTATTCAGGACTGGATGAGGTTTTCTCCACCTTTTCTGGTTCTGCAACAAGATTATCCTGAAGACTTGTGGATGGAGCAATGTTTTCAGTGGTACACTCCTGAACACATGCACTCACTCCCTCTGCTCCTGCCTTTGATACCAGCTCCTGTGTCTCTCTGGCAAGGTCTTACGCAAAATTTAAATTTAAAATCTAGATGAGGAGTTATGCTCCTAATTCATGTCGAGAGATCTCAAATAAAAAAGGTTTATATTATCAGAGCTCCTGAGGATCTGAATGTGTTGCAACCAGTACTTCCTGAAAGTGAATTATTTTAACTCATATGCCCACACAGGGGGCATTAGGAGTCCAGTCTTAGGATCAAAACTTAAAAAAATGTTCTTTGAAGTCTGGTTTCTTTATCTACAGAGTGCAGAAAATGCACACTTACTATAAAAATAAAAGCAGAGGAATTTAGTTGATTCCAAGGATGTTTTTGATCTAAATCAAGGCAGGCAGACATTGATAACTAGGAAATTACCAGCAGTTTCAAAAGACAAGGAAAAAGAAACAAACTTATGATTACCGCCTCAGATTTACCTCAACATATCATTGCTTCAAAAATCAAAAGATGTCCCATTGTATCCTTTCTATACTCAGCTTGAAATTTTAATTTCTGGCTTTTCCAGGAACAGAATGCAAGTAGGGTTCCCCCCTTGGTATACATGTCTTGGATATTTAAAGAAATACCAATACCAAGTCAAACACATTTTCATACTTTTTATCCAAAAGTGTGCAAAAAACCCCACAGAAGATACTTCAGACAGATAAGGAATTCTTAACTGGAATCAACCTCCAAGCTTTCATTTCTTAAGGAGGTAACCTCAGACACAGAAATGCAAAGATTGAGAAAGACCTTTTGAGACCAGGTAGAAGATAAGAATGGCTGTACTGGATCAGACTCCAGACATTCAGCTAATCTACAATCCTGCCTCCAACAGCAGCCAAGGCTGGATGCCTGGGGAAGAAGATAACACCAGGAGAGGCACACAAGACTTTCTCAAGTGCTGTCCCACTTCACCGGTCATATCTCAGGACTTTTGGGGTCAGATGTATTTGTGTGTTCAGCAACATTAAAAATTTCTCTTCTGTGAGCTTCTCCTGTCTTCCTTCAAATGTGTGTAAAGTTTTTAACATTCACAGTAGTAAAAGTTCACATTGCATATGTGTGGAGGGGGAATAAAACACTTTTTTGTTTCAAATCCACTAGTTTCATTACTGCCCCCTCACTTCTTTTGAAAGAGGCAGGGAGCACTAGATTGTCATTCAGTCTTTCCATACCACTTTTGATTGGTTGGTCTTCCGTCATCTCTCTCAAATGAGATAGTGATTTGCACTTGTAATTTCAAGCAGCATCTTCACCAAAGATGAGACTTTCAGAAATACATGAAGAACTCAGCTAAAATTACAGAGAACCCCATGAGGTTTACCTTGAGACTAGTAGTTTGAAATTCCCACCCAAGCACAGCATCCTCTAGCCTTATTTATTCTTTCAAGTTACTTTCTAGTAGTTTTATCAATGAAGAGCAATTTGTTCATACTTTTCCAGCAGTAAATGTAATATTATAAGGTTCTTGCACCTAGGCAGACCTGTAAATCCTGACAAGTTCCCTTTTTTGCCAGACTATTATAATTTAGACTTCTGAGTTTCTGGCATTTGAGTACCATTGACAAAATGAAAGAGGATACATTTCAAAAGCTAAAGCAAAATGTAAATCAGAATTATTTTAAATCTAGATTTAAATGTCTGGGCTGCATGGGTTATCCAACTACCAGAATGTCGAAAATATTGTATAAACACAACTGCCACTGCATTAGTACGTTTACATAATGTACTCAATAGAACTCATTTAAGATTAATGTAGATTCAGAAAGCCAAGCTTGCACAGTCTAATACTTCTGCAAGAAGTTGGATGGAGAAGTTTGTTCTAGTTGTCTAATTCTGCTTTGACACTGAAGCCTTTTGCATTTATTGCCTCCCTCCCATCCAGTTCCTGTTATACAGCTGTTCACAAAGTAAGCCCAGTTTTTCCCGTAAGAAAACTGAACTTACCACAAAATTCAACCAAACAAAAAGTACTCTTCACACATCTTCTGGACTTTATAAAACCTACCACTTTGTTAGAAAACTAAAAATTCCAGAGCTGAGAATTTAGATTTTAAATAACTCTTTTTTTCTATTTAAGAAACAGTCTCCCACTCTAGTTCTAGCAAAACTAAAAGCTGTCCTACACTAAGAATGGGTAACTTCTCTACAGTTTAAACGTGACAATCAAACCACAAGCAATAACAAAGGAAGTCCTACAGCAAGTTCTTATCCTTTTATGATGAGATAAAAAGAATATTTTTCCACATACACAGCTTTAAGATTTGCCCTAACTCTACCTTTTTTGAATCAGTGAGTTCCTCCCATAAATAACAAAATTCATAAATACCAATGCTAGCAACAGGAGGCACCCAAAATTAATGGCATTATCCTGGAAATAATATTAAGTCTATTTTAAATGAAAACAACTGTGCCTATCTTAAGTCCTCTGCTTTTCAGCTGAATTCTGCAAATACTGCTGCTTTATAAAAGGAAGTCAGTTGGACATATCAGTTGCAAGTCTTTACTCTTCTGTAAAATCATGCAACATTATTAGATTTAATAATTTTTGGAAGTTTATCCTGGCAAGCACTTTTTTAAAGCAATTGTTTAAGTAATAAAAACTGAAGACATTCCTGGTCACTAAGGAGTGATAGTGGATTACAAAAAATTTACCATTCATTGCAGCATCAAGAGTTACACTTGACTAAAGTTGAAACTACCTATAAAAGAACTTTGATGCTCTTATAAAGTAATGAAAAAAGTACCCACGACATTGCAGATATTTCTTAATGGAGACATTTGTTAAGTATATAGCAAAGCATGGGAAAAAATGAGAATACAGATAGTGAAGCAAGTACCAAAATATTTGTATTTTCAGCCCTAAGAAAAAACATGTTTCGTTAATGGAATCAAATCTGAAAACTGCTGGTCTACTTGTTTGCTTGAATGTTTTCACACTTTTTAGGTGTGAAACAAAGTTTACCACATATAGTGCATGCTCACATTGTATTTCACATGCTCCCACAGGTGGTAAAATCAGCACCTTCTGCTGTCCAGATAAGATCTGTGAGTTCCTCCAAGCTGCTGGAAGGTGCAAGAGGCACAGATGGAGCATGCCAAGCACAGACTCTGGTCTGGGCAATCTAACTCACCGAAAGGAAAGAACAGGGTGCTGACAGCCCAAGTGCTTACCCAAGCTAAGTTTAGACTAGGCAGAGTCTAATTGTATGAACCTCAAGTCTCTGCTCAGGAGTTCAGGAGAACACCTGGTACACAGGTCCAGAGATTAGCAGATCTCCATACTCAGCTGTACCACAGGCACTTATCAGCCTGTGCCTAACCAATTCTGACATGCAATTCCAACCCAAATGAAAAGCTTCAATAAAACCCTGAGGGATTACCTTTCTGGAGGATGGTGAACACTACGCCTACTCAACAGCTGTGAATAGGGGGATCCACAGCCCTGACAAGGAGGTTTTATTACAGGAAAGTTACTGTAAGACACATACTCAAGTGATACAAACATGTAACTGAAATACTATGTACTCATACTGTATAAAAGCAGGCACAAAGGAACTTTTTCAGCCTACGAAAACAACAAATCAAGCCAAATCCAACGCATTTACGCATAGTAACTCGAAGTGCAAGAAGCAGAGAGACAAAACCTCCCTTCCAATAGCATATAATTTGACAGTTTGAATTTGACATGATACTGTTATCCCCTTAAGAGCTTGAAAATTGAGCATATAGCTGGGAAAAAACCCAAACTTTCACATTAGAATGTTTTTTTGGAACCTACTTAGCTTCTTAACAGAAGCTAATTTTATCTTCCATAGAAAGGTTGGCAAGGAAATGGCTCAAATGACACAGCAATAAGGATAGAAAGAGCAATAAAAACTTATGACAGTTATTCAGGATTGTGGCTCAGATAAAATAAACAAACCCCCCCAAAAAAAACACAAAAACCCAAGCAAAACAAAACTTCGTTCTATTCGTTTCACCAGTTTTGTTTCACTACAGAGATTTATAAAACTACAAAGTTGGAGAGCATAATCCCACACAAGGAAGAAGTAGCAGCAATATGACCGCAGATTTTAAACCAAGCACGGTTTATTTTTGTATTTAAGAAGGTAGACACATCAAATTTGCCACAATCCAGCAAAATTTTACAAAAATGAAAGGACTGCAAATATACTTCTCTGAATTCTAATATATTCTTCCCTCATGGGCAACCTTGAAATGTTCCTACAAAGTATTTACAATGCAGATATCACAATGTTGCAGGATGAAATGCTGAAGTTTTATCTACCCAGAAACATAGCAGGACTAAAATGACTATGGTATGACCACATTGGACAATATAAAAAAACGACCAACTCGGAAAACAAGTATTCCCAGAAAACTATTTCACTATTTCTTGTTAAAGTGTTACTCATAATCAGGGCAACCTTAAGATAAAAAATAGTCTATCATGTTAACACAGACTTATTTCTGTGACTAACTCTGTACTTGGGACTGGTGTAGAGACAGGTAAGATATCTTTCTACTGCACCACCAAGAGCTGGCAGCTTCCACTGAGCACAGCCTATCAACCCCAGTTCCCTGTTACAGCTGTAAATCTATAACCAGAGAGATCCTAACACAGACTCTGCTTCTGTACTTACACTTGTAACTATACATGACCTCTGTGTGAACAGCAAACACAACAGTGACTATAGGCAAGATATACAGCACAAGTAGCCACCTAAAGCAAAGCTAGGCATAATTACACAACTGCCTTGCTAATGTCCCCTTCATGTTGAAAGGAAGGGGGAAATGCAGTTATGACAACTAGAATTAAGCATGTGACTCACTTCTACTAACCTTAACAGGCAAACATTATAGATCTAGTTTAGGTTTGTCATTGAGACAGATGCTCTCTACAGTTAGGGAAAATGAATAATCCCACTGTAAAATATCTGTTTAAAATAAACAGAATTAATTGCTTTCTGGAAGTGCAGCTCCGTCTCAAGCACAGAGGAAGCCTAAATATCTAAGCTATTGAAGTAGGACTCATATTCCCTTAAATAAGAGAAACTCTAAAGCAGTAAATGAAGTAGGGAAAAACTTAAGTTTTTAATCAAAAAAGGCATCTAAATTTCACAGAATGAAAACTCCACATAGTTGCTGTGTCTTAGGTAATCTCTTTGGTCATGTTCGTACTTGAGTCAAAAGAGCACCTTAAGGGTTGGGTTGATTTGGTATACCTGCAGCAGATAAGCCCACTAACACTGTGCTAATGTAACCAATCTCTTACAGTCCTGGAGAGTGTTGTGTACACTTAGTGTCTACTGAGAAGTGAACACGCTGTCAACAGAGACAAAAGCAGGAAACACAGGACTCAGTTTTAAGTGTTCTGGTTTCTCTTCCACTAAACTAGAGGATTTGCTCAGATGGTAACACCCAAGCATGAATAACAGCTTGAGTCATCTTCACGATAAACAGGAGTGGCAGGGAAGATTTTCAAAGTGATGGTACAGACAGTGAAGGCTATAGTTCGTTACTCTTCCTGGTTTTTCAATTTGCCTTCAGCTGTTCAGGTAGATAAAAGTTTCAAGCCTCAAAAGTACAGCATGATTTCTATAAAAGGAAACATTTCAGGAGTACTAGAAAGGCATGAGAGAAACACTCTTACATATTTAAGTATTTGTTAAAGAGTATGTATATATATATACGCTCAAAATAAAAACCCATATAAACATAAATATATATATTTATATTACACTACTTAGTATATTCACAAATACCCAAAACCCAATCATCTTCTTCAGACTTCTAAGAATGTGCCTTATATGTTAAAGGTAAAATCATAGAAGGTTTTCCAGCCACAGCTGTGGTAACTGAAATGTCATAACCTTAAAAAAAAATTCAAAAAGCACATGCAGCAGAACCAGTATGCTCCTTTAGCACTATCACGCAGAGCAGCAGTGGTGGTAGTGACCTCCCTCTCATCCCACATGCTTCTGAAACACATTCATGATGTAAGCAGAAATATATTTAGTATGTATGTACAGACAGAAAACCTCAAATATGTTCTCAGTTCCTTTTTGAAGGTTAAAGCTGCACTCTTCTAATGTAACTTTGTTGATAGAAGCATGGTGAGCACATGAAAAGCCATCATTTGGTGGCCCTTAGCATGTTTCATCCCTTGCAAAAAAAACCCTAGAAAATATTATAAATCATCATCCCTTGCAACTTCCAAGCTCAGACAAGACACTAAGTGCCTAAAATCCAGAAGACCACTGGAACTGAGTGATGTCTGCAAGGGCAATCTGCTGTCTGCAATTCCTGAGGTGCCTGCCTTTACATCAGTGAAGCTCCCTAATTAGTTTGCACCCTGACAACGAGCGTGCTTGCAAATGTTGTCATTCTGGATATGCCGAGCACTCTTTTTGTGCTTAAGGCTGTCCCTCACTCACAAATCAGGTATTTCTATATCTGAGGAAAGGCAAAATTTAGTAGGCACAAAAGGAACAGACTAGCTTTTCCCAGAGAAGACAGCTGCTGTGCAGAAACACGTACGAGTCCTGGAGCCTAGAGGAAAGACAGTGCAGGAACCTGTGACTCATTTGCCAGCACTGCAGTCACTCCTGTGGTTGAACCCATGGCTACATCTATGGTTGGTAGCACAACGAGCCACAGCATGTCCTAGGGCCTCAAGGGCAAGTGGCAAAGCACAGCTTGCACCCACATGTACCACCACTAAACGTTCTCCACTGCTAATCCATACCAGCAGCTGAAAAAAGTCTCTGAGTTGCATTATGCCCCAAATCTTGCCTAGGCATTGTCCAGAGGAGAGCTGACAAATGCCAAAACAGGCCAGGGAACCCAATACCAACAAACTGCTGATGACACGGTAATCACTAATGTGGGGCAATACTCAAGCCCAAACTACTGTGTCTTTAAAGTCAGTAGCACTGACTTTAAAGAGACTTACTAGACTTAGCCCCAAAGACCCAGTCTTTGCCACCTGACCTTACTTGGCTGCCTCTCAACAAGATTTTAGACTCATTATTTTAACACAACAGTAAACGATTTATTCAATAACCTAATGTATAAACCATTGACAGTATGACCATTCCTATTTCTTCCTATTTTAAAAGGAATTATGTAAGATGTTGAAATCAAAGAGGTCTTCAAAGTGCATGTAGACATCTATCTCTACAAGACCTGTAGGACTTGAGAAAAACCTTATAGAAATCACTACTGAAAAGGATACACACCACTAACTCCCCTTCTGAGATACTCAATTCCTCCTAACAAGTTGCACAGAAACCTAACTTGAAATTGGTGCACTGCATCCAGGGAAACAGGCACGAAGCACTCGAGTACACTGAGCTCCACAATAACTGTGTCCTTGTACAACCAAAGACTAGGAAGCTGACTGTGCTATACTAAAGTACTAAGGAGTACTTGCTGACCTGTAATTGCTCACAGCTTTACCCTGACCTGGATTTGTTTAACACTTTTTACACAAATCTTAAACATACCCACTTAATATTTTTCTCCTTACTGCATGATCAAAGTCAGTCCTGTTATTCCAGCTCAGTGAGTTTGTCATATTAATGCAATAATGTATTCTTTAGGAATACAAGGTTTTCATCAGGAAGGCATTTCTGCCACAATGAGCTGCATCATTTAAAATTGACAGAAGTCTTTGGTGTGGGATGAGGTATAAACATTACCTACATAGTTAACAAATACTTATGCAAACATTGAGTTATATTAAATCAAATATACGTGATAAAACAGTACTGTAGATTTCATGGCAAATGTTGAACTGAAAGCAGAAATCACAAAGAAGCAGATAATAAAGGAGAAGCATTATGGAGCATAGGTTAGGCAATGCTACATGGAAGAAGTTATAAATAAAGCAAAGCACACTTGTCTACCGCTGATCATACTTCAACCATTAAGAGAAGTAACTTCATAGAGCCATCTTCATCTTGCATCAGTCAGTAAAACTCTAAAACACACTACAACTCTAAATTGCAACGTATGCCAATACTGGTGTTCGTCCTTCCTTTGAAAAATACGAACACTAATTAGGACAGACCAATACAGCCAAGGAAGGCTACAGTATGAACAGCTGCAGTGCAGTGCACTGACTTAGTTCAACAACTGTTTGTTACTCACACAAAAACAAACATCAAAACCGCAGTTGAAGATAGCAGACCAAATCAGGCTGCGAGTGAAATGCCTTTTGCCCGCCACAGTGAACCTTTTTGTTCTGTTCTGGGCTGTTGTGGGGTTGCAGAAGGTGGTGCAGCTGACCTCATCCCTGTTAAAAGCAAAAGCTACCACATAATCTTTTAAAACTGCAGTCCTATGTGGAATACCCCTTGACTCCTAGTGCTCCTGCAGATGATTTAACAAGTTAACAACAGAACACTCTACCAACTGTATAGTCTAATAAGAAAAGTGTGGAGTGCTTCCTTCTCTAACCCCCCTTACCGTGTTGGCATAAATTACCTTATCTTTAGACAAGGCTGCAGTTTTCCTGCAACTCCAATGCAGAAGAACAAGACCCTTTCACTACCCCAGTACCAGGAAGGTGAACCCTGTCAGAGCAGAATGGCTTTGCACATCTTGTGTTGGGCCCTCCAAAAGCTGGCTTGCAGAGAAAGTATTCTGTAGCATAGCCCAAATTATTTAAGTATCCCAAATGAGATGATTTAGAATATGTGTATGCTCCACACTCTCCACTTACTGTGCATGTGAAAGGGCATTTGCGGGAAGAACATTCTCTAAGCAGCAGCATGAAAAATGTAGTACCTTGCTTGTTCCTCCCACTCAGAGCTTGTGAGCAGAATGGAAGCTGAGAGACAGGGAAATACAGCTAGATTGCTTTGCAGATACAGATAACAAAGATCATAGGTGTTTACTTTCTTGAAGGACACAGCAAAAAAACCAAAAAAACCCACCAAACCCAAACTTAAGTTACACTGAAACAAATGCATTTCAGATATATAGACATATCACTCAAAACAGACTGAAAACTGATAGACTTTGTGTTTGATTTGCTTGCACTGAAAACCTGCTCTTCCTTGTTTATTCCTAACACAGTGCAGCAAACAGTGACACTTCGGTCAAAGATGTGACACTGCAGTTGACAGGGATTTCTCTAAGGGAAATTCAGGTATTCTGGAATTTATTCACACAATGTTCGTTTGAGATATTCAAAACAATTACTTTTTTGGCCGGCCGCAAGAGAGATCAATTTGACAGAATTATGGAAAAGGCTGAGCATGAACTTCCAGGTTGGCAGGTAATGAGCTATGCCTTTCACGGGGAACACATTTCAACTATGGCAGTGTTTAAATCATATTTATATAAATACGATAAAAATGAAGCAAAGGCTATCGTCATCTTTGAGTCTAAAGTAATTTCATTTCCCTATATTTAAAGTTATGAAATCAAAATAGTGCCTACTGTGAGCACAAATGTTCTACAGTAAAGAAAGACTACTGTACAGTAGATTTCTATTTTGCAGCTAAAAGTTATGCAGCATTATTAACATATTCTTAACTGATCTCCACATAATGTGCCTCTGGAAGCATCAAAACCTCACTGGTAAATACATGAGTAGATAAATGGGGCTTCTCCTTTCAGGGTTCAATAAAAATTTAAGGAAAAGAAAGTACTTTACATGTGATTTTGTAAGTATGTATTTGCTGCTTTTTAAAATCAAGAATTATTGAGAAGAACCTCCAGCTGTTTTCCATTCTTTATTTTGTCTGGCCATGCCTTTCTTTTTTCTTTCTTTTTTTTTTGTTTTTTAGTTAAAAGAAAGCATGACCTAGAAAAGTTTCATTTCCTTCCTAAAGCACAAACGACTAAGTCAGCTAGCTATGCAAAAGCAATAAACATATTCATAATGACTAGCTAAGGAGTAATATATTATCTTCAGATACCAGTAAGAAATCTCACACTGATTTGATACAGCTTTCAAAGATAGCTAAAGGTCAGATCACTTAAGACTTTTCTTCAGGGAAATTATGCAAGACATTTTTCCTCACAAAAGCTCTGTGACAAGTAAAACTACAATAAATTCAAGCTCTTCTGTATTAAAATGCTCAGTCCTTTCAAATCTCCTATTGAAGTCCTGCTTCCTAAAGCAGTCAGGAGAATGAGGAAAGACTGGATAAAACCAGACCTGATTCTCCAAAAAGCAGACAAGCTTTGTAATGAAATGCACTACCTGGGAGGGGTGGGGGAGGCAAGAACTAAACAAAAACGCATGCTAAACAAGTAGGGGAATCAGAGTTGCATTATGTAAATACTTGTAAATAAATATTTTTCAATAGTTTCTATTCTTATTTATCAAGCCAATTTTTTTTTTTTTTTGCATAAGCTTTACTCATTCCATGCTTTTGTTCTTCATTTTAGCACTTAAAAAATACGTTCTCTAACCACATGAGCAAACTTGAACCTTTGCGAGATTCCATCTTCCTCAGACTATCAGGTACTTTGTTTAAAATTAACCCAAAGCAATCAGTTATGGTGAGACATTCTTTGTAAGTAAGAAGGCATCTGACTTTTCTCTCCTCCTTTATCAAGTGTTTGGAGGTTAAGATGTATTTACTGATCTGAACTACACTTCTCTAATTTCCTACTCATTCTTGAGGGAACTGTTAATTAAACAGACACTTGTAAACCTTGTATACCATTAGATGGAAACAATATCCAGGTAAAGAACTGCAAAAGAATACAATAATTCCTTTGTTCACTAGCTGAGCCTTTCCAGGACATCTCAACAGCCTCCTAAGTCAACCACAGCAACATTTTCTCCTGTTTCTAATACATTAAGTGTTTCCAGACAAAATCAGCCAATATTTAGATGTGAGGAAGGGGTGGATTTTCCACACTAGAGGACTCAGAGCTCTCCATTTCTATGTGGGGCCTCAGCTCCTTTGCTGCAGTGATGTAGAGACTCAGCAAGACATTTTAGCATAAATAATGTTTCACTACTACTGCTCTCCTGAGCCACCACTAAACACTCTGCTGTTCACAATTCACAGCCCTTTCCTCATGGGTAGGCAGAGAAGGCAATGGAGGCCAGCACTGAATCTTGAGGTGCCTGTCCTGGCTGCCACAGCTGCCCTCAGCTTTTGAGGAAAACCCGCCATGGTCTCCAGTGCTAAGCCTCCAACAATAGGAGACTCTGTCCTGAGCTTGGGGAGACCCAGATGAGACATGACATGTAGGTCAATGAAGCAGCAGGGCCCTTGGGTGCATGTCTTGCACATTCCTTTTTATCCCCTCCACTAGGCTCCACTCAACATATTTTGCTGTTTCTAGGTGATCACTGTAGGTCCCTTCCAACTGAACTATTCCATGCTACTAACACTCAAATCAGCTATATAAGCCACCCCAAAACAGTATCAAATACATGCCCCTAAAAGCTCAGGAAGAGAGATTCAATACATTAAAACACATTCAAGCACAGCACTGCAAGTTTTTTAAAATACTGTCTGCCTCTTAAAATACTGTCTCGTTCTCCGTTTCTGCAGCTCTGACAAAAAGAATTCAAGGGCTTTCAGGCCATCTTCTTCAAAAAA